AAAAAACGTTTTTCTATTTGCATTTCAAAACTGACTTTGATTTTGATTTTTCTTATTTTTTCAAGCATTACGTCTTTGATCATGTTTATGCAGTGCCCTGGGTTATTTTCTACGCATGCGCGTAGCAGAATCAGCCTGTCAATTCGAAAGCAAGCGAGGGAAAACTGCTGTGGTAGGTTTTTCACGTTTATTGACAGCGTGTATTATGCTCTTTCATTATAATGACTACTTCAGATTCGTTTTCGGATTTTCTTTTATTAACTTTAATTAGTTTGCAGATAGTTTGTTCGATGGGCGTTTGACGTCGTTGTACTTATGAAAAAGCGTGTGTTGCGTTTTCATAGCGTTTTAGTTTCTTACTCACTTGTAAATACGTACATCATACACAGCACATGCCCAGATGTTTTAATAACAAGCAGACTGCATTCTGGAGTTCGACCGACATCTAAATTAGTAGTATTATTTACGTAAAGAAAAGCAAGTTTATTTAGATCCTCGTTGTCTTCCGCGTGTCCACAACTTCTCAAAGTTTAAGCCATAAACGTGCAGCATTATGTGTCTAATATTATCCGAAATTCCCAGTACGAGGTATATATTTATAAAAAATATATGTATAGTATTTTCTGTTTCATTGCGTTGTTGTCCAGATCAGCAAAATTTAAATTGAAGCATTTCTGAGTGGAGTTTGGTTTGGGGTTATTTGAAAAACAGAACTTATTTCTCGCTTTTCCTTGTTTTCTACCTTAATCCATCAGGTTGCAGGGTCAATAAGAAGTCTTTAATTTTCCTTAAATAAGTGCTAAATGGGTTATGAGTTCGTGTTAAACTGGTTATGGGTTCACGTTAAACTGGATGCTAGCAAAGCTGCTAGTCTTTGTGGTAGTGTTTGCTAGCTAACGACCTCGTTAACAACTTAATTCCCTGTGACATTAGTTGAACGGAAGATAATATTACAGTACAACAGCCCGTTGTCAATACCCAAGTAGGCAAGTTTGTACTTGGTAAGTTCACTTGGAAGTCCAGACTTCCGAGGACTCTACACAAACTTTACAACTGGAAGCGGGGAGTACTTGATGACGTCACAGCTCTGCTCAGCTCACAGTGTGTTTTTACTGCCACCCCCTTAATTTTATTGTGATCAATACTTACAGAAATTCCTCTGATACGCCTAATCACTAGATTTCTTTAAAAACAGTTTATTTAGGAAAGTGTTTTTAATCACGTTGGCAAAATGCTTGGCTATAAAACAGCCATCCATGTGAAATTATTGGGAAAGAGTTCAGTAAAGACTCATTATTTACATTGGTGTGATCTTAGAAGATGGTAATGAACTTTATGCCACTATACTGAAATAAATATTGAATAATCATTATTCATTTTCAAGTAACATACGTATTTGTGTAACATACATGTAATTATAATCTTATACACCTCCACCTATTCTTAGTCTTATTCATAACCATTATTTTATTATTATAATTTGCCTTCTAACATCCATAGAATTATATGCTCTTTTATATCATCTATGATCTGCTTCATAGTAGAGCTGGGCGATAGAACGATAACGATATGTATCGCGATATAACTTTTACTCGATAGAGA